CGGCGCGACCACGCCCGGCGCCGGCCAGCCGCCGGGCGCGGCGGCGGCCGGGTAGCCGTATGCGGGCGCGCCCCACGCCGGCGGCGGCGCCGCGTTGGGGTCCGCCGAATAGAACGGGCCCCCTGGAGGGAACACGGGTGATGCCATTTGGATTCCGCCCGGGCCGCCGTTCTGGGCGTACTGCTGCTGCTGCCGCGCCGCGCTGACGTAGGCGCGGCCGAGCTTGAGTGTGAGGTATCCGTTTATGGCCAGGAGGGCGGCAAAGAGCACCATGGAGACCCAGCAGAGGGCGACGACTGCGTTGCGGTGGCCGTCCTTGGGGGCGCCCTGGGCGTTGGCCTGGGCCGCGCTGGACCCGAGGGTGATGCCTGGGTACAAGGGGTGTGCGCGGGCGCGTGTGCGTTTGTGTGTGTGTGTGTGTGTACATGTGTGTGTGGCCGAGTGCAGAGGGGGGACAAGGGGTGGTGCTGCGGGGGCGAATCCAGCAGGCAGCACAGCTCAGCCCTCTCGCGGCGCGCCGGCGCGTGACGAGGCGAGAGCCGCATGGCGTCAGCTGCCCTGCCCCTTGCGTCCTTCACACAGAACCCCTGCTTCCCGCACCACCCAGCACCCCACCAATGCCCGCCACCACCCCTTGCAGGCCCCACCTGCGGCCATCCACCAGGCGATGAGCCCCGCGTCGACGAGGCACTCCAGCAGCCGCCCCATGCCGCAGCAGTCCATGGTCAGGCACTGCGGGAGGGAAGGTGTGGTTCAAGGGGCCGAGAGAGGTTCATGATGTGTGCGTGCGTATGCAAGAATGTTGATATATGTATGTGTATGTGTGTGTGTGTGTATGTGTGTGCATGTGTAATTCGAGACAAGGCCTGCAAAGTCTGCACTTCCACGCTCGTGTGCGAACCACGCAACAGCCGTGCAAAAACAGAGACAAGTTCTGCCATGCTGGGGCGTGACGCGGGGTCGCGCAAGGGGCGTGTGCTGCCTCAGCCCAGGCACCTGCATGAGTGACAGCAGGAAGTTCAGGAGGATGGAGATGGAAGCCACACTGTAGGCGTACTGGCACGCACCCTGGGACCGCCAGAAAAGGGCAGGGGGGGGGGTGGGGGGCAAGCAGGGGGGGGGTGCAAGGGTGGTGACTGGAGGGGGGAGATGAGACAGGCCGAGACGGTCGCAGTCATCAGGGGTGCCATGCGTTTGACAAAGCCAGAGCACGCGCGGCTCACGACCTCGCCAGTGGGAGCCGCCGGTGGTGCGCCTGTCCGGCGCAGTAGCACAGCCTCCGCCGTCCCAGCGGCAGTGCCCCGGCCGCCCCCGCTCGTCCGCCCCCCTCGGCGCTGGCCCCTGCCCGCGCGTTGACCCACCGGCCACTTGTCTGTCGCCATGAGGCACTGGTAGGTCGCGCCCGCCGCGGGCTGCCCGCCCAGCGTGAAGAGCGACAGCGTGGCGCTCTCCAGGTTGTAGCGCACCATGATGATGATGGCCACGCTGCACGACAGCTGGAGGTGGTGGTTGGTGTTGATGTTGGTGTTGGTGTTGGTGATGTGAGTTCGGCATGTGATTGGTGATTTGATGTGAGAGCCATAAGAAGCAAAACGGCGAGGGCGGCGCCATGCTCTCTTGAGAGTGGCATGCTCTGCACACCACAGGAGTTTGTCGCTCGCACGTGCGACTGGCCAGCAGGGCTAAGATCGGGCCCGTCGTGGTCATTGCTGCTGAGGAATGCTCCCCCGCGTCCCAGGCCCAGGGCCGCGACGGGCGGGCGCACAAGGGCCCCCGCTACCTGCAGCAGCGACGCCGCGAAGTTGGCCTGCGATGCGCGGCGCAGCTTCATCTGCGTCTCCATTGGCAGCGAGGCCATCGCGGCCTGCGGTTCGGCGGTGGGTGAGTGGCGGTGGGTGAGTGTAGAGGGCAAGTGAGGGGTGCTGGGCAGCGGTGCTGACGGTTTGCAGATTGCTGGACGGCATCAAGCAGGCCAGCATTACCGTATTGCCCGTCGATCCTTCGCCTCTGGGACGAGACGAGATTCGCGACCGAGCCGCGCGTGCCACCGTGTGGCGCCGTACGAGGACGTTCGCAGTGATCTGCGTTTTGCACCTGACTTTGCCCTCCCGCCCGCATGCGCACCTGCTGAGCCTGCATCATGGCGACTGCGGCCTGTCAGCAAGGAGGCCTTGGAATCGCCGCCGCTGGCCCGGGCGCGCTCTCCTCAGGGGCGCGAGGCAGCGTAGGATGTGCTGCTGCAGCTGGTTGGGCTGTGCAGCCACACCGTTGGACGCTCGAGCTACACGCTAGGCTGCGCGACGACTCCTCCAGACTCAGTGGCAGATCCTTGCATAAGGATGTGCGTCAGGTACGACCGCTGTGCTGTGCTGATGCACCTGTACTGATTGTCGGACGGATAAGTGGATTCAAGTCAATGGATCGGCAGAGTGTGCACTGATACGAATGGACGTACGAATAAGAGAATACGGACCCACTAAGCAGAACAAGAGGCCTGCTGGTTCACCATCATTCCTGGTTCATCATACCGCAAAAGGCAAATACGAATAGGGACCCCGTATTGATCGCGATGGACGTCCTCTATAAGGGCGGTGACCTAGTTTGGACCCAGATCAGTTCTGTCGCGCGCATCCTGCTGGCCCTGCCGATATGCGTGCTGCAAAACGCATATAGTTGTGTCTGGGGCGCTGATTCTAGCGTGCCATCCGGCAGCTGCGTGTTCTACGAGGGGGTCGTCACCCACGCCCGCAAGCGGCCAGTCGCAAACGCCTTCGAGTGAGCGGCGCAGTTTCGGCGCGACGGCCGCCTGCACGCTTGCAGTCCGAGGGCGTGCGGCTTTGCATGCGCCACACAGCACGACGGCCGCCAGACGGCATGCACGGCAGGCGGGCCAGCCGCCTGGTCAACCCGACACGACTCCTGGTCTCCGCTCCCCTGTGCGCGCTCGCATCCGCACGCGCGCAACTGAAAAAGGTACAATGTGCGCGTCGCCCTCGTCGACCTGGATGATCCACCCGCGTGGTTTGTTCGCCGCCAGCAGCAAGACCACCTCACTGCGGACCAGGCCCGGCAATTTGCGGGCACCGACGGTGAGCAAGGCGTCACGCGCAGTCCGGGTGTGGGGGCCGCTGCGCGGCAACTCACCCGCGCCTAGATGGGTGCCTGGTAGCTGTTTGATGGTTTTTAACAGCCTGTAGCTGAGCCCGTGCTCCCTGTCTGGCGGCCCCTCAACGGCCACGCGCCCTCGCTCGCATCGCCCGCTCGTACTTGTGCTGCACTGCAGGGAACGTGCTGCTGCTCACCAACCCCGTCAGCGCGGGCTACACGCAAAACCCCATCAGTGTTTACTACTGCTACGGACGTCGAGAACAGCAGGAGCAGCAGCAAAAACAGCAGCAGCAGCAGGAGCGGCAACAGGACAGGCGGCAGCAGCAGCAGCACGAGCAGCAGCAGCATGATAGGCCGCGGCAGCTAGGGGATGGCGCCACGCCCCTTGTGGCCATCGCCGAGGTCACCAACACGCCGTGGGGCGATCGCGTGCGCTTCGTGTTCCGGCCGGAGGGGGATGAGAGCCCCAAGGCGCTGCATGTGTCGCCCTTCATGGACATGGAGAACACCTGGTGGGCGCCTGAGGGATGGTTACAGGGTGCTTTGGGGGTGGGTGTGCTCTGGGTTGCTGGGCACCAACAAAGGGTCTCTTCAGGATGTGTCCTCCATCAGGGGAGGCACGCAGCCACTGCTGGCGTGTATCGTATCCAGCGGGCGACCGCAGCCGTCAGCTGGCGGGGGCGGGGCAGAGCACCCGGCCTTGCGCAGCGCTTCCAGGCGGGTGCCCACCTTTTGGACCCCCCCTCCGCCCTGCTGCCACATGGCAACGCCAGGCACCTGCGCGCGACGCCGCCTGGGGAGGGGCTGAAGCTGTCCGTTGTGGTGACCCACCCGCGGCTGGGCCAGTACTTTGATGCCCATCTGATCGCGAAGCGCTGCTCGGGGCCGCACGCCACAGCGCTCAACGAGGCGGCAGGGTGGGGCTCGCTGCTGAGGTGGGTGCGCAAGCATATCGCAACGCCTGCCTGGCCAGGTCGCAGTGCGGCTGGCAGGAAAGCGAGGCGACGGCGCGCGCTGCTGCTATGGGGCGCGAGTGCCGAAGGCCGCAGCAAACCGCTCGCCAACGCGCCGGGGCCGCAGCCTGAGCCTGGGCCAGGGTGCAGCGCAAGCGATCTCTGCGCTCGCCACAGCTGACTCGCCACGCCGCATCAGTCAGCACCCTGTCCAGCGCCTGGCGTCCTTGCCCTGTGTACCGCCACGCCCAAGCGCCCCTCACGGCCGCGCTGCCGCAGGTACGGCTTCATGCCCCAACGCGTGGCCTTGTGGATCTACTGGCAGGCCGTCGTCCTCATCGCCAAGGGCTGCCCCATCCACCCCAAGCCGGACGGCGCCAGCTTCAAGGGCCGCGCCGCGGCTGCAGCTGAGGGCAAGCTGCGGGCGCCGGGCGGGCGCGGGGACGAGGGGGGCTGCCCCTTTGAGTGGACCGACACCAGGGCTTGGCCATGGTACTTGTGATATCCAGGGGTCCGGGACGTCCCATCCGCTACCTTACTTGCATGGTGCCGTATCACTGCTGAACCCTTCTTCTGGCATTGCTTGTTGTTTGTCTCTTATCACTTGCATCTGTGGGCAAGGGCCGCAGCTGCGGCTGCGGCGGTGGCGGCGGCAGCGGGGGCGGCAGCGCTGCATGCTCATTATTAGTCGAGTTCAAAAGCACGAGCTTTGTGCATCCATGCAAAAAGTTCATCACCATACAAGACGCGGGCTTTGCATCCTTCTCGTTCACAACAAAGCACTCACTGCCTCAGGATTGTGTAACGGCTGTTGACGCGTCGCACATGCATCCCATAGGCAGCTCATGCATGTTCACACTCCTGCCATACCCTTCCTGCGCAACATCGGAGGTGAGCTCAGGGCTGCCAGGAAAGCTGGGTATTGCAGATGCCTTTGGTTGCAGCTGCATAGCCTGGCTATCAATCACCTGGCAAAACATGGCCCTTCTCCAGCAGCAGGCAGCAAGCATCAAAGATGGGGCAAGCCGCATGCTCATCGGCGCTAGAAGAGCAGCGGGCAGGCTTCTCAAGGCGGACGCGTGGACGCCATGACCCACTCTTTGGAATTTGTGGTAACCTCTGAACCGCATCGACAAGAAGGGCACGCAACTTTGGCTCATCCGTTTCCGCCTTTGGAATGGCGTGCGTTGGCGGTGTAACAAGCATTTGCTTCACTAAAGCACAAGTGCATGGGACACTGGCGTCCCGCACAAGTCACTAGGCACGATACGGTTGACAGCTGCAGTGTTGTTGGAGGTCGCTGACCGCATTTCAAAACTGTTGCGGTACGCGCGGACCCTCCAAAGGTGTGAGATGCCAATCTTGATTGCTGTCTTGGGACAGTGGCAGTGAGAACATCACCAATCCCGTCATTTTTTGCTCAGACATCCTGCCGCAAGCGCTGGCATCCCGCTTTTTGGCCAGAGTGCGCCTGTGGCTGCGGGCCCCGGCAAAGGAGCAGCAGGCAGCAGTGCGGTGCACCCTGTTGACCAGCGGGACCTTGGCCGGAGCCGGCTACTTCGGAATGCGTGAGGCGAACGCATGAGCAGCTGTATCCCTCAGTGATGCATGTGCGATGCACTGGCCCAGCCACACCTTGCAAGCCGCCCTTGATCTCCCCGTTATGTGATGACACGCCCTCGTACCTCCATTCCTGTTGCACATGCCATGCGCGCAACCACAGAGCAGCAGCGACCGTTGGCTTGCAAATTCACACGCGCACAGCAAGAGTCCGCTGGGGTGTCCGCTCATGCAATAACACCTGCTGCTCCGCTGGTGTTGGGCAGCTGCTGCAGCCGCAGGGCCAGGTGCAGCTGCTTTCTGTTACAGATGCATGCAATCCATGATGCCGAGCTATTTTGACACAAGTCATGAGTCATCCAGTGTGAAGAGTTCACAGCGTACGCAAACTCTGTAGTTACAATATATTACCATACAGTTTTGGCACAAGGGTAACCCCACGCTAACAGGGCGCTGGGACTGGAAATCCATCCGTGAGGAGGCGCAGCAGCTGCCAAGGAGCAGCTGCGGTGAATCACCAGCAGCACTGGCAAAGCCGCACGAGAAGCGGCAGTTGGAGCAGCGGTGACAGTGGCCGCAGTGGCCGCAGCAGAAGCCGCTGCTGCAGAAAACAGGAAACAAGGGCGCTCCCTAGTAACGACAGCCCACCTGCCATCAAGCTATACACGCCGACCGGGCTGAGGGCTGCGCCGCCGCACCGCCGCAACAGCGGTCCCGCTGCTGCCGTCCAGCCCCAGCAGCGCCCGCAGCCCGCAGCCTGCCGAGGGCGTCGCTGTTGCCGTGGTCGGCGCTACGGCTTGCTCGTACATAATCAAAGCTGCATGCCGCCGCAGCGCCTTGGCGGCGGCGCTGTATGTGCCAACACTGGCGGCGGCAGCTGATGAGAGTCCTCGCCTGCTGCCAATGGCTTGGGCCCATGCCGGCCATGCGCTGACCTGCTGCTGCATGGGAAGGGCGCCGCTGCTAGCGCTTGCTGTGCTGCTGGCGGTAGGGTTGGTGTGCTCTGTTCGTCGGAAGCTGTCCCTCGGCCCCTTTGCGTGTGCGCTGCCGTGCATCAGTGCTGCAGCAGCCATGCAAGAGGCCTTGCTGGCATGCAGGCCTAGCACGAGAGCCATCCCGAAGATCTCTACACAGAGCTGTGTCTACAGTAGATCTACAGCTTTGCAGATCTTTGAAGCGTTTTCTGTTCGCGTCAATTATACAAACGTAGTAGCGCGTGTGAATTGTAATCACAATTACACGAGCGTTGGTGTATGTAAGACAGCTTTGAGTAGTGGCTACATTGCACCCTTATCTTGCCAGCGTGTGCTTTCTGTAGTAGGGTAACAATTTCAGCCTCACAATCGTATTCAACCCCATTCTGGTGCGCCATGGGCACGCAAAGGGAGTCGTCGCTGGGAGGCACATGACGTCTGTTGCGCGCATCGGCCGCCGCTCCGAGCGCCGCTGCGTTGTGCGCCTCCAAACTCGTCCATCCTGCCAATACCCAGTGCGCATGACGCCTGCGCTCTTGCGCAGCAGCTGTGGTGACAATTACGCTCAAATCTCTGGGAGCCCCAGCCACAGCGGGTGCGCCTATAGGCGTGCTTGGCTGCAATCCAACTGCCTCGCCCCGTCCCGCCGCCCGCCCTCTGGCAGTTCCCCCGCGCCCCGCCCCGGCACCACCAGACCAGCGGCGCGCGGCGCCCGCGCCCCCGGTGATGGACGCGGCGCGGGTCAGGGAGGTGGTTCACGAGGTGCTGGGGTCCCAGGGGGACGAGACCATATTGGACTACCTGGTTGGGGTGCTGGAGGACGAACACTTCCCCTGGGAGGACGCCTTCGACTCATTAGGACCCATCCTGGTGCGGCCGCCACCTCAGCAGCCACGACCTCAAGCGGCGGCGCGCGCCGCGCCGCGCGTGGCGGCGTCGCCCGGGGGCCGGTGGCGGCGGGCGCTCGGTGCCGGCGAGCGGACGACAGGCCAGGCCCTGGCGGCTGAGGCAGCTGGGGTGACGGCCTGAGCATGTGCGTGCAGGTCAAAGCGGCCCGAGGGACACTATGTCCTGCACCCACCACCTCTTGGCAGGTGGACTCTGGCTGCTGCGCCAACGATGACCAGGCCCGGGCGGCCTGCGACAAGCTGGCGGAGAAGCTGGGTGAGCACCTGCCGGGCAGCTGCCGAGTGCGTCCGTGGCAGCTGCTTTCTACGCGAGTGGGGGTGTCCGCACACGCTCTTCAGTCCCTGCAGTGTGCGCTTTGCAATGCCGCGTGAGCGTGGTGAGCATTCCACTTACAAACCCGTGATGCTCGCCGTGCCGCTCGCCGCAGACACCAGCCGTGCGGCAGCGGGCGGCGGCGCCGGCGGCGGCGCGTTCGGCGCGCCGCAGGCGCTGAGCACTGGGCCCGTGCTGCTGGCTGATGCGGACACGCGGCAGCTGCTGCACTCTATTGACTCACGGGCCATGAGGTCGGGGCGCGACCTTATCCAGACCCAGTTTGGGGGCGCGGACCTGCCCAGCAACCTCACGGGCATGACAGAGAAGGTGGGGCGCCGGTCGCACACGCGCATGGTTGTGGTGCAGGGGGGCGGCGACGACTGCGCCAGCAGGGGCGGCGTGGCGGCCTCGTCGTGTCGCAGCCTTGTCGTGACAGGTTTATGTGTCTCGATGCGGAGTTGCTGCTGAGACGGGAGGGGGCGTCGGCCGCGCCCTGCGGCGCCTGGCGGTCGTCTGCAGAGGCAGCGATGTGCGTCATGGTCTGGGATAGCTGCTGACCCCGCCC